AGGGATACTTAATTTTGACGGTGCCTAAAGTCCCTTTTGTAACGTGAACCCATAAAACCGAGACCCAATCCCATTACGATTATAGCACTGTCACGTTCTAACATAATCACTAATTTCATTTCATTCAATGTTATTCGTTTTGTCAACCAAAACGATGAACTTTGGTCAAATGGTATTCTTGACCGTTCGAGAACATTTCGAATTCGTAAATATCATTCGTTTTTACAACGAGCGGAATAAGCCACTCGAATTTATACATTGTAACCTAAAATTTTAGAATAGGTGCCATGTTTTGTATACCTTGACGTACCTTGATTATATAAATTTAGAAAATAATGAACATGTCCACCGTATTCAGACTGTATAAAAATCCATTTGACGAATTGAAGGATGACAGTTTATAAAAATGTTTCGTCTTTATTCTTGATTAATTCCTTAAGCCAGATACAGACGGAGAGATGCATACGTGTGTACTCCAAAATTTTCTGAAATCATCTTCTGCACGTTGATCAACGCGCAGTGATCATCCATCGTCTGTGGTTTTGGTTGCTGTACGATTTTTTGGGAGAAATTGAAAATTCCTTATATTTAGCTGTTTCGCAACCAAAAACAAACTATAATAGAGTTCACTGTTCGCAACCATTGTAAGCAATTTCTGCAATTTACGCAGCTATGAGAAAGCTGTTCAGTTGTGTCACCTAACTACTAGCAATTTCTACGTTGCCAAACATATCATTCGAATTGAAATGATAGACGTATGCGAATTTTCACACATCATTTTAAAACGAATACACATCAATTCGAGTGAGGTCAAGAATATATAGCACCCCTGGCTGATGTGGTGGTAACCCAAAATTAGGCAAAATCAAAAATAAATCAAATATAGGTAATAAGTGACATAATGACTAACATACCTATCAAAATTCGTTGAAGTAGCCCAACATTACAGTTTTCACACCATTTTCATTCATCCATTCGTTAAATCGGCAAATTCTTTTTGATAAACGAATTTCGACTTAACGGGAACAATTCTTTGTACAGCTCTTTCATCAGCTTTAGCGAGAACACTTTCTGGTACGCTTTCACGATTCACTTTTGTAAATAAATTGTGTTACCATAGTTACATAGCTATAATTTATATTAAGCCACCTCATAGCAAATATAATAGTTATTTATGCAATGAGTGTATAAATGAGGCGTTTTATTGGTGAGTGAGTTGTTTAGTCCACGAGCGCATTTATATTTACGCCGATTTATACATGAATTGCATACAACGTTTTTTCGTCGACTTCACTGGAGTAGGTAATTTTAAATTCAACTACAAGAAGTTTTAACTACATATAACATATAACTTGTAACCTTGTTTCAAAAATGTTGTAACTATTTATCTTTTCACAATTTAAACAAGAATTGCTACTACTGAGTTGATTTTAATGAGTAGGTATATCAAAGTAAAGTTAATTAGCAGTCAGCTCTACTGTTTTATTTAAGCAAAGAACGATTTTTTTCACATTAAGGCATACTTGGTTGTTAGTCTGTAGAATATTTAGTGCATCCGCAGAATAATTAGGTAATATGCGATGTACATCAACGGTAACATATACATACCAACGATTCGTCTTTACCTGTACTTTTAAAGTCGCAAGCGTAGCGATTGTCGAAGACAACTTAACGCATCAAAACATTTCCTTTGTAGAAAATGTCTGCAGAAAATACGCTAACAGTCAATGATATCCAAAACCACAAATTTAATTGAGTTACCTCTGTTAGATGTTGAAAAGCCTCACTAGATCTTTTGACGATGATAACAATGTTAGATTTAAACCAGTTTATTATTAAGCGGGTCGACATTTTAACTGACGTCCCGCCTTTGCATAAATTCGTTAATAAAATGTTAGCACTGGGATCAAATTAAATAAATAATAACTTTCAACAGCAAATGAACATAAGTTAAATGTGGACAAGTAGGTATAGGTTGGAAATAATTTCAGTTCAATTTTAAGTTTTTCCCTGTTAGCATTGAATAATAAATCTGAAATCTATTCAATGCTGTTAGGTTAAGCCACAGATAAAAAAAATTACGAATGGTATGTTGGTCTTAAAACGAAGAGAGCTCAGTTCTTTTGCTCGAGGATTTTTATTCTGAACAGTCAGATGCTATATCATACAGTTTAATTACATTACATAACCATAATTTCAATGGGTAACATTCGATTGTATAATGAGGACACCATTATTTCGTAGAGTTTCCTACTTCAATCAGAACCGAGTTGCTTGAATTACTGATTTCAAATTTCAGTTTACGAACTCACTCGTTCAATTTTGTTAGCTGAAGGCACTGAACGTTAACACGTGTTTACTTGTACTAAAATAAAAGAAACCAGAAGAGATAAGAATTTCATAACTTTATTATATTTTCCACGATTTTGTTTTCATTAGAGAAAATAGGCACATGAATCTGAAATCTAGAGTGGGAACTCTGCTCGGGGCATTTTGAGATATCCTCTAAAATAGAATTCTCTAAAAAATGCAACACGACAACACACTCTCGCAACATGTAGCTTTGCCGGAAAGGAAATTCTGAAAGGAGTTACAATAATGACGCAATAGAGATCCACCCCAAAGCAGCTTATGGTATCAACAAGTTAAAGAAACCTGCGTAGGTCGCAATTGTATTTCCGTTTATAAATAGGCACAATTAGATTTACTGATCGGAGCCTTTCAATAATGCACTAGTGCTATACGGGTTTAAAAAAGTAAAGAAGTGCTTATGCTGTATGGGTAAAGGAGTCTTTTAGAGATTATTAGCGAAGCGAGTCCCGTTAATAATATTTCAATTTCTTGAATATGGAAGCACGTTAACTAACTACTTAATTACTTACTCGATAATTAATAGTAAATTACAAACTTCTGTTCCGGAAGTGTTATCGATTACTCAGCTGTTGATTTCCGCTCGAGCAGTGCTAAACTGTAATTTTGGCATTTTCAGATAGAGTGAAACTGACAGGAGCTTAGTTTGTCTAACAGCGCCCTTTATGCAATTATGAACCCAAGCTTATCATCTCATCTCATTATAAGCCTTTCTCTCCATAATGCTTTCATACCTATTGATGATTTAATAAATGCTTCCTAATGCCTAATTAACGAAATTCCACATCTCAGTACTACACCGCCAAATATTTGATTCGTTCTTTATGAATGAAGGTTAGACTAAAAGGAGTGGGATCAGAATAACGTTGATCTACCGGTAAACATTCACTTCGACAGATTTGTAATGTAATTCTAATTATTTTAGTAGTATAAAATATGATGATATATGCTAAAAGCTTTCTTACTCTGTGTAAATCTACCGTGCATGACAAACAACTAACAATGAAGCTGTAGTAGGTTCCGCGTCTGTTATGGGAATTAAATTGACAAAAAAATAAAATCACAAGATACGAAGAATCGTATACGATTTTCAGTAGGGGAATTTATTAACACTCAACTCGCATTCGGAAACACGACTTTAAATCCGACTCATACTCAATAGCCCCGATTCTGTCGGTCGTAGAAATAGATTGGCGAGAGTTTGACATCGCTTTCGCTCTCGAGTTAGATGAGGAACAGAAGGGCGTACTGATTAACGGACAGATGGACGGACGGACGGAGAAAATCATCGCATAAGGGGAATTTTGCGAAAGAAAAACACCTCCAACATTTTACGAATAAGTTGTTATTTACACAAAGTCAGGAAATTTGCACATTACCGGCGAGTAGTACGAGGCCTCTCGTCAAGTAGTACAATTTTACGGACGAATTTTGTATTATATTTTTGCAGAAATCGTCTTTTTTAATATAACATTTCTTGCAAGTTTATTCAACCTAAGCTCTGATTAGCAAATCAGCTCAGAAATGGGATATTCCCGAAAAAAGGAGTTCGAAGAATGAAAGTATCGTATTTACATATTTGAGATTCTATTTATTTATTTATGTATTTATTTGTTTATTTATTTATTTATTTATTCATTTATTTATTGTCCTTCTCTTGTTCTAGGCCCTCAACAGGCTTTCGCCCAATTACAGAATGACCCGCATAATGCTTTTTAGAGGTGCCCCTGCAGAAGGTCTTAAGTTGTTCTATACTACTCCGGTATTTACTTTCGAATTAGGAAAACTGGAGGAAAACCTAATTCGGAGTAGCCGGCAGAATGCTCGAAACTCAGCTTTTGATCGAGAGTTTTTTCCAGGAGGCAACAAAATTTGAGTGTATTAAAAATAAAATTATGCTGATTTAAAACCAAGTTCGAGTGTATTTTAAGGAGATTAATACAAAACGGTAAATTTCACAAACACTATATATTTTACGCATTCCTACACGCATTAATTATCGCGCTGATAAAAAGCTGCCTAGCGTTTAATCGCTGATAAAAAGCTATCTAGCTTATAATCACTTAAAAACTCATCTCATTGGTTAGAATTTGAAACAATCACCTAGCTGATTGGTCGTATATTAATTGAGTGTATTAATCGATTTAAATGCAATGAAGAGCAAATCACATTTATGACGTCATTTTCAGCACCAGTGAAATAAAGCATAGCACGTTTAATAAATTTTTGTCGGGAAATAAATCTCAAAAGCAGTTATTAAGTGTTTGTGGGATCAATCTGGAAAATCCATGTTTTGCACATGCCCAATTGTATGTCGCCTCCCGTATAGGAAAACCTTCAACATTAGTTTTTACGCGCCAGAAAACAATGGTGCGTATAAAAAGTATTACAATAAGCACTATGTTTTTGAAATATTGCATTTTTATTTTTTAATCCAGTTCGAATTTAATATGCATAGCTAAAGACAGGACATCTGTCGGGCCAACTAGGGGCATATAAAATTACTTCCCCTCAATACATCGAACTGTATACCTATTAACATTTTTTTGATAGTAATCCTCGTCATCGTCACCGTAACCTATATCGAACTATGCAAATTAACTTTTGTTACCGAGTCCTTGTAAGTAAAAATTCAACGTAACGGTAGAACACAATTGTTTGGCAATTAATAAGGAATGTGGTAGAGAATGAATTGTTCTGTTGGGTCGACTCATCTCGAAGGAATGGACTACATTAATGAATATTACGAACTGATATTTATCAAATGGGCAGGTAAGTACCTAGGTAAATATATACGACGATAGTGATTTATTCTTACACTTGCAGATGAGAGGACGGCAACTTTGCCTTTGATGAGTTCTCCTTTCCCGATATTTGGCCTTCTAATCACCTATCTTTACGTCGTTTTTATTTATTTACCCAACTACATGACACATAAGAAACCATACAGCCTCAAAGGCTATCTTACTGTTTACAATTTATTTCAGGTGATAGCCTGCTGTGTATTAATTTATGGGGTAAGATAAACGATAAAGTCTTCCAAATGTTTACGTATGTTGTGTAGATTAGCACCGCGGGATGGACGACTCATTATACCTTAGGCTGTCAGGAAGCAGATTTCTCAAGTGATCCATTAGCACTTCGTATGGCTCAATACCTTTGGTTAACGTTCATTATGAAAGTGGTAGAACTTACGGAAACATGTGTATTTGTTTTGAGGAAGAAAGCGAACCAAGTGTCATTTCTGCATGTTTATCACCATATCAGTACAGTACTTTACACTTGGTTTCTGGTTAAACTTTATCCAGGAGGAATGGCTTCGTTTCCCGTATTGCTCAACTTATACGTTCATATCATCATGTACACCTATTACTTCATATCGTCTCTGGGTCCAGAGATGCAGCAAAAATTAAAAAGTGTTAAGTCAAGGGTAACTCAAATTCAAATGGTAGGTTATACCTTAGAATATTGCAAAATGTGACTTCTCTTGTTACAGATACAACTGGTCGTATCAGCAGTCTATTTGACTCAAATATTATCGCCATCTTGCAAGGTACCTATTATGCTATTTTGTTTTGGCGTACCCAATCTCATAATTAATTTAACATTATTTTTGGATTTTTATGTCAAAGATAACCAAAAACACGATTAGTTCGTTGTACCAATCCTTTACAATTAGTCTTTCGTACAAACTTACACACTTTTGACACCATTACCATGTCATATACATTGGCCATAGTAACGAATATAGACCGCCACAGTGGCCTTTCCTTCACCTCAACGTCTCGGATATTACAACGCACCCTTTACATTCGTTATTACTTGTGATTACAAATAAAACTTATACTCTGTGTGCACAACTTATTTTTTTCACAAAATGCTATTAGTGGACTGTATTTGTTTGATGATTGCGTAACCATTATATTTTATTTTTATCTTCTCTAAGCAGGCTTCAGTCTAGCTAGACTGTTCTATCAACCCAACCGATGGCATACAATTCATTCCCGAACCCGGATTCAAACATATCTAAATGAATAACAACTTCACTAAACGCCGGGGGGCGTTAAGTAGAAAAATGATCTTTCAAAAATGCATAAAAAATACATGCATCGCATCCATTTTAAATCCAAGCGAACGATAGGAGCTAGTTGTTAATGGGCAGAGTCCTTTGAACTATAAAAACCATGTTCTCTCGAAGATAAGCGTACCTCAAATAGTATAAAAGACGATATCATTATTGACGACGTACTTTATAAAGAACAATGCTTTTTATAGATACTTAACCTTAGAAACGATTTAAAATGTCAGTGTTAGGTGTAAAAACTATAAAGAACATGTGAAAGTTCGTTCTATAATGGAATCGAACACTGATATTGATAGGTTTTAAGCGACAAAAATTACAAGAGAATTAAACACAATAGAAATAAAGGATGCTAATTGTGCATATTTACCCGAAAATGGTAACAATTACCTATGTATAATTGGAAGACAAAAAGTGCCTTTTAACGAATACGACCAAAGGCATCTTAATCTAAACAAATACATATACCTTCTTCTTTAATTCCTTTACATACGGTATAATGCCATTTTTGAATACTATATTGGGGATGAAATGTGCTTTAAAACTTTGCGTGTGTAGTGTGCCCGAACACATGCATTTTGGCAGCTAATTAGACTGTCAGAGAGCAACAAAAACATTTCTACATTCTAAAAAAGTAAAATTTTGATTTCGTAAGTGCCATATTGATACAAAATGCGCCATATACTCCCAATTTTCATTCTATTTTCGTATGAGTAACCGCAACAGGTCCGGTTTCAAGATAGTTGGGTAAAAGTTTGTTGTTACAACGTATCTGTAAAAGCGCGTTTAGAATTGGATCACATTTATGTCAAATCGGAAATCCCATAAAACTGGTAATATTTTAGCTGAATGGAAGGAGCTCTCATTATTGGTCTCGAAGCGGCCCTCCACTTTAGAATTTGAAGGTCAGCTTACCTACTGCCGGTGCATCAATGAAAAAAGCTGTTTCCACTATTAAAAAAATTGCTGTGGCTAGCACGGATACCACGCGATGCTGCCCTTATGTGTACCAAATTTAGTTCCAATCGGTTCAGCCGTTTAGCGGGAAATGAGGAAATGAGAGTACAGATGGAACGACAGCATCGAGATTTTGTTTGATTCCAATTGCTGATGCTTCAAAACCTGTATTTCCATAAACAAAGAGGAGGCTCATTTTCTACCCCCCTGCAAGGCTTTCCTTATTGATGTGCGGGTGGTAAAAACATTCAAAACAGTCATGGGTGTATTTTATTGAATTAATTTAATTATTTATTTGAAATTAGACTTTCATTTTGACCTACGCACCAAACCATCACTGCCACATAAATCGTGCAGGGTGGCTTATAGCTTGCCAATACACGTCAGAAGACATAAATTCCACGAAATTATTCAAAATAATCAAAATAAATTCCCGAAAACATCTTAGCCCAGCGAATTAAATTAATTCCGCGAATTAATCCACGAATAAATTTCCAGATGGCCACCGTTTTGCATGTATTCTATTCTTGAAGATGAAAAATAAGTGGCAAAAAACACAATACTTTCATGTAATAATATATAACAACGTGACTATTCTGCGTTATCTATTTGTAGTATGCAGTCCAATAAGAATGACTTAATATATCTACAGGTTGGAAACTTACAACTCTAGCTAGAATAATAAAACTGACCATATTATAAAGAATGAAACGGGTTGGAACGTGAAAAAGTAAGTTAAAGGTACGGTGTTGATATTGAAAATAGTTCGCGCTTCTTTTTAATAACCACAACGTAAAACCGCAAGGTTTGAGCAAAAAGGAGCGAGTTGAATTCACAATTTTATTGATGTTCCATTTCCGAAAGGCTGTAAGCGTGAACGGAACATACCAAAAAGCGGTCATGCGGTTCATTGAGCATTGAAATACAACCATCCATCTCAAGAAAGGTATAGGTATAGAGGTTAGTCTTTGTTCGGTTTTTTCATATTTTAAGGCAAGTAGAAGCCCTAACAGCTTTCCCGCGTGGGTTCATATTAGACCAATGTGCACCGTATACATGAAAATTTTTAATGAGAAATACCTTCCTTTTCCATCTGAAACTTTTAATGAGTTACATTTTTTATTATTGATATCACATGTCGCTAGGTAGGTATCCATATAACTGTTTTCAATTATTAACTTTTCGCAAGCTGAAAGTTTTAGTAAAGCTAAAGGCGTCTTCAAGAATCTAATTAACGCCTTTAACTTTTAAAAACGAATATTCGCATTCAACGGCTGTGGTGTAGGTAACCACGAACAATATCTTTTCAATTTTATAAAAAATATGAATAAAGGATTGAATTAAGTTTTCTTTTATCATTTGCGGGAATGAATTTCCATCTCAATCTCCAATTGTGTAGTGTAAATAATATATTGGGCAATTTAAAAAATAGTTTATGCTAAGGTTTCAGTGTATACTCGTGGTAAACTAAAAGGAACGGTACTTTGTCATGAAACCGAAGGCTCATAATACGAGTACACACCCTTTGAATCATTCTCTCGCCCGCAGCCTTGAAGAATTAAAATAGTAACCATTTTTATGGAATTTAGTTCCATAGTACGATACATATGCTTTATATTGAATTAGGGTACGAACAGAGTGGAGGGAGGTTTCTCGCTTACCGGTTTTTTCTGCCGATGCTCGCATGAGTTGTGGATAAATAGAAGTTCTTGTAGGGACAATGTCTGAGAAAGCCCCTATAAGGTATAAATTACATAGTGAAAAAAGCGCTCACAATCATTGTTTTAATGATTTAAATAAATGATAATATTTTCTATATTCTTTTCTTTCCCGATTAATGGGATGTATGCCATCTCTATTCCTTTTAACCCTATTAACACAAGATAATTAGGTCGTCGTCAGATGACATTTTTGCATAAATATTACAAGCAGACTGTCCCAATTTGGTACTTGTTCTCGCTTCTTGTGTGCAGTCTCAGCGCGAAAAACCTGCCCCTATCGGTGCGAGATACCGGAAAGCCGGAAACTTGCTTCTACTCTGTTAGTCCACTTAGACGAAAATAAGCCCATTTCTTAAATAAACTAAATGATTCCTCTACACTCAACGTCAGTTTTTCTTATTCTTCTTCTCAGCATAGAAGGATGAAAATAAATCATTTACTTACCCAATGCGGTTTAATAAAAATGGACCAGCGCTTTTGTATTTCCATCTAGAGATACCAGATCTGAAAATAGTTTATTTATAGAAAAGAATTGGGTCCCTTCTACCACTCAATATTTTTACCTACTTACGCAGTGTCTGGCGATAGAATCAAATCAAACATTTTCTTTCTAATAAGCCGAGGGTGGCAAACGTGTCGTTCGGAAGTGCATTAACTCAAAATTGCTTTTTTCCAATACCGACACGTTTTTATTGAATTTAATCCCTAATTTTTGTGCATTAATAGGTAATTTTAAAAATTGCTTTTTTCTACAACTGTCAAAAAAACCTGTCATTTTCTGACGGATTTCGAAACGCGAAGTACTAGATTTTTAAACGGTTAATTAATAAGTAAGGTTGCTCTTGACAACGTGCGCGAAACAGTCAACAATGAAAAATAGTATATTAAGATACAAGTGTATAATCAAGTCTTTAAAGCACTCGCAACGAGTTTAAAGGCAGGACGCGAAGCGGAGTGCTTTTAACGTTGCAAGTGCTTTAAAGACCAATTATACACGTGTGTCGTATAGTATTTTTTATTATACCTTCAGTATAATTTAAAAATAGGAAATACAATGAAATCATATTGACGTTATACTCGAATACATGTCTAATTAAGTGGGCTGGGTGTTCGTAATTTCACGATTGCCATGGAAATGTCACTTGACGTTTGCTTATAAAAATCATCGTCTTTGTGAATAAAATGATTTCCGTTGAAAAAGATAATACACCGTCCATTAGAAGGACGTCCAGTGGAAGCACGACTGCTGTACTAAGGGTCCCTAATGCGCGTTCGCACCTTCAGATGCAGTATAGGGTATTACGGGCTTATTGCCTCTCTTACTAGTTTGCGTCATTTTTCGATAATACTATCCTTGTTTCTGACGGCATTGATGTCAAATTGACATATGATTAAATTGAAGTATTAAAACAAAACATAATCTCCTTGTGCTGTAATTGTGACGTTTGGCAAGCATGTACTGTATGTCCATAAGCACCATACTGCATCTGCAGGTGCGAAAGCGCTATAGTTCGAATCCGTGTTCGGGCATAGACATTTGCAAATGTATATAATGAGTTGGGTTGGATAGCGGCCCGGAGCCCGGATACCACCAGAATATATTTGGAGCTGTCTATTTCGCGGAGTTCACTCTGAAATTTCATCTCATCTTTACCAGCTTTTGTTTCTTGCATTAATTGTAGCATCTGTTGCATTTTTTCACGTAGATCTGGTTACTATTGGCATAAACTTGCAGGAATTGTTCACTTAAACATAAACATCACTTGACACTAGTGTAGCGTAAATTTAATTAAG